GAGGAGAGAGGAGGATGGAGGAGGTAAGGACAGAATAAAGGATCCTTAAAGCAGGAAATGAGGATGAAAAAACAACGAGCACAAACTGATGAAAAATTAAACGCTGAGACCTAATTTCTTGAAATTATTCAAAACTATTAATTGGTGTGTGTGTGTGTGTGTGTGTGTGTGTGTGTGTGTGTGTGTGTGTCCATTCTGTTGGAAAGTCAATTTAACTTTGGTCTCAAAGTCAAACATTACAGCTGTTGTTAATTTATTTTCTTGTTTAATATGAAATTGGCAACAAACCAGGAATCCCTCAGCTGTATGTGCGTGTGTGTGTGTGTGTGTGTGCGTGTGTGTGTGTGTGTGTGTGTGTTGCTGGGAGGCGGGATTAGAGGACTGGACCTGCGGCCGGCTACAGGATGCTCGGCAGCAGCTCCGGTGGATCCTCGGTGTGTGTTTGTGTGTTTTCAGGAGGCAGAAGCCGAGCAGGAGTCTGGACTGTTACACAAATTGCCAATTCAATTAGCGGGAGGTGTAAAAACACTGGAGAGAGACGGAGGGCAGCCATCTTGGCAGCATGTCAGAGCCAATTTATCAGAACCGAACAAAAGACCTGAGGGATGGAGGTGGACGGAGGAGGAACCTCGGCTGAAGCTGGAGGAGGGAAACCTGAAGAATAATCCTTCTGACAACCTAATTAAAGGCAGAGCTGCAGGAAAAGACGCCCGACTGGCTGATTTGGATCAAACTTTAGGTTGCAGACATTATCAACACTTAGAATGAATTCAAACACACGGTTTTAGGAGAACAACGTGCTCAGTGGGTAGAGGACGGAGTTAAACGGAACCCAAGGAGAACCAATTATTCAGGTATTATTAATTAGCTATTAAGCCAATTTCATGAAGTTAGCTCGACTTGAGTTTAGCTTTAAATTAACAGACACTTACATTTAAGTTTAGATTACACACAATGTGAGATGGATGCAACATTATGATGTTAATGTTTGAAGGTTTGTCTGAATCACAAAATCTGATCAAGTGGTGGAAATAAATCCCTGAAATACGAGAGTTCCCTGAACACACCTGCTGTGTTCAGACATTATTAAATGTGTTCGAGGACCTAAAGGCTGAACAAATACGACACTGAAGACATTTAACGGAGACATCTGTAATGTGACAATACGTTCATGACTGCAGCTCAAAATAAAAGTGAATCACTCCACAGTTCTGTTATCTACCAAAATAACTTCTGTAAATGCCAAAAACTACCAAAGAAAACCTAAATGAAGCGACACGATCGATGAAACACTGAAAATGAAATGGTCCATCCAGTATGATATGAAGCACGGTGGTGGCAGCATCATGAGGTGAAGCACAGTGGACTGTGGACTTCAAGGACCTGGGACTCTGGAACATTCACAGTCTGAAGGTAGAACTCTGGTCAGTAGATAAAGGTGCTGCAGATACAGAACCTGGTGTTCTGAGGAGGTTCTGGTTGGTTTTATTTGGAACAACAGAAGCAGAAATGTGAGTTTTCTACAGATGTCTGGTGTTTTACTGTGAACCAGCTCTGAGCTTCTCCAGAAGTCCTCAGCAGTGCAGACATTAGTTTTAAACAGGACCTTTAACTTTTCACGGTTGTCCTCATTAATATTCCAGAACCTCCGCCTTTATTCCTTCATCAGACTTTAAGCGTCGACCCGACCTCAGACGGACCAGCCTCCAGCTCCTCCTCATCTCACTTCACTGCTTGATTTACTGATGAGTCTCTTGTTTTAGTCTTTCTGGGATGGTCTGAGCCTCCGTTCATGTTCTAAACACAAGAGCCTCATGGACTTCTTTAATCTTACATAAAACCAGGGCTGTCCTCTATAGTGGAGGAACGTTAGGAACGTAAATACACGTGTTCGTTGCACATTATCCTTTATTATTAACCCCTTAGGTTCTGGATCTTCTGAGCTTCGTGAACATCTCAACACGTCTGTGAATCATAAATGAAGGAAGCAGCAGACTGGATTTCATCCTGTTACACTTCACTAAGTTTACAGCTCGACACATAAACCAGAACCAGTCGGACCGGAGCACAAACAAGCTGTTTGGGCCGATTAACTCCGACAGTCGCTTCACTGTTTAAACCCATCGCCGGTTCTGCTGCAGCTCAGGAAGAAGAAGAAACGATTTATTCTGCATTTACAGAAACAAGGCTTCTCAAATAAACCCAAACCTGAAACCCTCTCCGACCCGATTCGTCTGATTCATCTCCAAATGGCTCCATTAGACGAGCACTTGTTGATTTCAGAAGTGAGTCTCGAGCACAAAGCGACACACGAAGCCTCGGCGACGCTGCGGCGGCTCAGGCTGTAATTTTCCACTCGTGGTGAATAATTCTGGTTATTGTTGGATGATCAGGAATCAGAGCAGTGACGAGTCGCTCAGCTGTTGTCGGATCAGAAAGCACCAGAACCTGTTCTCCACCTGAGCAGAACATTCTCTGGCTTCTTAAACGTGAAGGTTTCAAACCTTCTGTGTCACATTTGAAGTTAATCTGAATCTAAAGATGTCCCTCTGAGAGATTGACTGTCGGGGTGACGGCGCCCCCAGTGGTCACGGCCTGGACAGTCACCACTGTTTTTACATTATTTTCAGTAAACTATCTGCTGATTGATTATTCAGTCTGAGTAGTTTTATTTATTCATTTTTTAATATAATCATCTAAACTCTGAGGTTTCAGCTCCGTCGGTGAATCTTTTCTGGTTTCTTTCCTCTGTGACACTAAACTGAACATGTCTGACTAAACAGCTGATTTCACTAAATTCACTAAATAACATCATCACGTTCATTCTCAGGCCCGCCGGTGAAACCTGTGAACATCTTTTTGAGGTTTTCTGCATTGATTCTCTGGTGTCTCCATAAAATTCCTCCTGAATCAACCTGATGAATGTTTTCATCTGAATGAACCGAAACACAAACAAAGTGTTTACATCTTCATCTGCCGACATCCTGCTGCTGCTGCTGTCACACACACACACACACACACACACACACA